TTTAAAGTTATTTAAAGTTATTTAAAGTTATTTAAAGTTATTTAAAGTTATTTAAAGTTATTTAAAGTTATTTAAAGTTATTTAAAGTTATTTAAAGTTATTTAAAGTTATTTAAAGTTATTTAAAGTTATTTAAAGTTATTTAAAGTTATTTAAAGTTATTTAAAGTTATTTAAAGTTATTTAAAGTTATTTAAAGTTATTTAAAGTTATTTAAAGTTATTTAAAGTTATTTAAAGTTATTTAAAGTTATTTAAAGTTATTTAAAGTTATTTAAAGTTATTTAAAGTTATTTAAAGTTATTTAAAGTTATTTAAAGTTATTTAAAGTTATTTAAAGTTATTTAAAGTTATTTAAAGTTATTTAAAGTTATTTAAAGTTATTTAAAGTTATTTAAAGTTATTTAAAGTTATTTAAAGTTATTTAAAGTTATTTAAAGTTATTTAAAGTTATTTAAAGTTATTTAAAGTTATTTAAAGTTATTTAAAGTTATTTAAAGTTATTTAAAGTTATTTAAAGTCATTTAAAGATATTTAAAGTTATTTAAAGTTATTTAAAGTTATTTAAAGTCATTTAAAGATATTTAAAGTTATTTAAAGTTATTTAAAGTCATTTAAAGATATTTAAAGTTATTTAAAGTCATTTAAAGTCATTTAAAGTTATTTAAAGTTATTTAAAGTCATTTAAAGTTATTTAAAGTTATTTAAAGTTATTTAAAGTTATTTAAAGTTATTTAAAGTTATTTAAAGTCATTTAAAGTTATTTAAAGTTATTTAAAGTTATTTAAAGTCATTTAAAGTTATTTAAAGTTATTTAAAGTTATTTAAAGTCATTTAAAGTTATTTAAAGTTATTTAAAGTTATTTAAAGTTATTTAAAGTTATTTAAAGTTATTTAAAGTTATTTAAAGTTATTTAAAGTTATTTAAAGTTATTTAAAGTTATTTAAAGTTATTTAAAGTTATTTAAAGTTATTTAAAGTTATTTAAAGTTATTTAAAGTTATTTAAAGTTATTTAAAGTTATTTAAAGTTATTTAAAGTTATTTAAAGTTATTTAAAGTTATTTAAAGTTATTTAAAGTTATTTAAAGTTATTTAAAGTTATTTAAAGTTATTTAAAGTTATTTAAAGTTATTTAAAGTTATTTAAAGTTATTTAAAGTTATTTAAAGTTATTTAAAGTTATTTAAAGTTATTTAAAGTTATTTAAAGTTATTTAAAGTTATTTAAAGTTATTTAAAGTTATTTAAAGTTATTTAAAGTTATTTAAAGTTATTTAAAGTTATTTAAAGTTATTTAAAGTTATTTAAAGTTATTTAAAGTTATTTAAAGTTATTTAAAGTTATTTAAAGTTATTTAAAGTTATTTAAAGTTATTTAAAGTTATTTAAAGTTATTTAAAGTTATTTAAAGTTATTTAAAGTTATTTAAAGTTATTTAAAGTTATTTAAAGTTATTTAAAGTTATTTAAAGTTATTTAAAGTTATTTAAAGTTATTTAAAGTTATTTAAAGTTATTTAAAGTTATTTAAAGTTATTTAAAGTTATTTAAAGTTATTTAAAGTTATTTAAAGTTATTTAAAGTTATTTAAAGTTATTTAAAGTTATTTAAAGTTATTTAAAGTTATTTAAAGTTATTTAAAGTTATTTAAAGTTATTTAAAGTTATTTAAAGTTATTTAAAGTTATTTAAAGTTATTTAAAGTTATTTAAAGTTATTTAAAGTTATTTAAAGTTATTTAAAGTTATTTAAAGTTATTTAAAGTTATTTAAAGTTATTTAAAGTTATTTAAAGTTATTTAAAGTTATTTAAAGTTATTTAAAGTTATTTAAAGTTATTTAAAGTTATTTAAAGTTATTTAAAGTTATTTAAAGTTATTTAAAGTTATTTAAAGTTATTTAAAGTTATTTAAAGTTATTTAAAGTTATTTAAAGTTATTTAAAGTTATTTAAAGTTATTTAAAGTTATTTAAAGTTATTTAAAGTTATTTAAAGTTATTTAAAGTTATTTAAAGTTATTTAAAGTTATTTAAAGTTATTTAAAGTTATTTAAAGTTATTTAAAGTTATTTAAAGTTATTTAAAGTTATTTAAAGTTATTTAAAGTTATTTAAAGTTATTTAAAGTTATTTAAAGTTATTTAAAGTTATTTAAAGTTATTTAAAGTTATTTAAAGTTATTTAAAGTTATTTAAAGTTATTTAAAGTTATTTAAAGTTATTTAAAGTTATTTAAAGTTATTTAAAGTTATTTAAAGTTATTTAAAGTTATTTAAAGTTATTTAAAGTTGTTTAAAGTTATTTAAAGTTATTTAAAGTTATTTAAAGTTATTTAAAGTTGTTTAAAGTTATTTAAAGTTATTTAAAGTTATTTAAAGTTATTTAAAGTTATTTAAAGTTATTTAAAGTTATTTAAAGTTATTTAAAGTTATTTAAAGTTATTTAAAGTTATTTAAAGTTATTTAAAGTTATTTAAAGTGATTTAAAGTTATTTAAAGTTATTTAAAGTTATTTAAAGTTATTTAAAGTTATTTAAAGTTATTTAAAGTTATATAAAGTTATTTAAAGTTATTTAAAGTTATTTAAAGTTATTTAAATTTATTTAAAGTTATTTAAAGTTATATAAAGTTATTTAAAGTTATTTAAAGTTATTTAAAGTTATTTAAAGTTATTTAAAGTTATTTAAAGTTATTTAAAGTTATTTAAAGTTATTTAAAGTTATTTAAAGTTATTTAAAGTTATTTAAAGTTATTTAAAGTTATTTAAAGTTATTTAAAGTTATTTAAAGTTATTTAAAGTTATTTAAAGTTATTTATTTAAAGTTATTTAAAGTTATTTAAAGTTATTTAAAGTTATTTATTTAAAGTTATTTAAAGTTAAAGTTATTTAAAGTTATTTAATGTTAATTAACGTTATTTAAGGTATGAAAAAACAATAAGTGGCCCCTATATAAAGTGCAAGTAATTCATGAACTTAATAAAGATGATTTCGATCGCAGACAAGAATTTTATGAATTAATGCAATGCGTTTTCTCAAAAGAGGCCATCTTCTGCTTAAATGGTACAGTAAATAGACAGAATTTTAGGTACTGGGTACCAGAGAAGCCCCTGGGCGAGGTAGGGGCACAATCAGTATCCACAGACAGTCAACGTGTGGGCGGGAATAGTTGGTAATACAATTGTGGGACGTTTTTTTATTATTTACTGCAACATCACATAATTTCCGCACTTGCGGTTCTGTACCGACATCATCGAAATCCTCGTGAATACCTTGATAATATGTTTCCCAATAGTGGATTGGTAGACGAGGATGTTTAGAGTGGCCAGCTAGATCTCCTTATCTAAATTCACTAGATTTTTTTGTAGGAAGTCAAAAGTTTACGTTAATAGACCTAATACAATTAATGCTAAAAAAGAATAAGGACAGAAATTAATTTAATTAACTGATACCCTTCCTAATTTTTGTAAGTTTCAACATCGCCTTGCATATTGTTAAAAGGCAAATGGCTTGGAATTTCAGCACTTAATTTAAAAGTTTGTAGGTTTATTTAGTGTTGTTGTCATTTTTAAAAATTACATTATTAGAATCAAATTTCTTTTATTTCTGGAACATATGGTTACGTCAAATAAAAAAAAAAGGCATTTATACACAGAAAAATTCGTTCTTTTTGAAGGTATTATCAAAATAGGATATTACCATTAACAAAAGGTAATGACGTCATAACTCGAACAGTGATGACGTCATCAAAAAATATGTGTAGAACAAAAATGCACAATTGAAAAAGAAAATCGACGCTTTTTTACAATGGTCATATCAAACTTTTAACGAATTTGTTTCAATCTCTACATGCTCACTGTATAAGAGACATCTATAAAATTTTTGTCTGCAATTAAACCAAACAATTTATTTTCATGAAATTTAAATCAGTTAATTATATTTTTATATGCCATTTATATACTCTGATTTTAATAGTACGTAGCCACTAAAAATTGTTTGATGGTGATGTCTATGAAAGAGTAGGTCCTGGACGTTTTGCAAATAACGATGCTATGAAGATTTGAATACTAGACGTAACATAGTCTTAAAAAGTTTTGATGTTAAAGAATTCAAGTTCAGACAGAATTTTCACATGAAAATATTTTATTTTCCCCAACATAAATGCATACCAACTTATATAATTTAAATAAATCTTAAATATGTTATGCTAAACTGAAAATAAATTGCTTTTTATACATAAAAGAGGACCACATTATTTTTCTATTTTTCATTCATTTAGCACAAGAGTCCAATATCTATCTATAGTGAGTTTTCTTTTATTATTGCGCATAACTTTGCGGTGATTTATAAGATTTTATTTTCATATGAATATTATTTTCAGTTTATTAATGATAAAAAATAAGAATTCAAAAAATAACATCTTTTTGACAATTATTTTAAAATGTAAACAAAGCGTTTCACAGTTGACGTCAGAAAACCTGCGCGCCTTCTCTCCTTTATCCTTACACCATGGATAGAGATATTTTTTTGATAACTTATTATTTTCTAAGTAAATCCTATTGTCTTGTCTTATTGGGATAGAGTCAGTGGTTTTTAAGATATTTGCGTACAAATGTATTGATGGTAGTCCTGGATTTACGAAACGTCGGATAAAAAAAAACAATCGCACTATTATATTAACTACTTGATATAAAACAAAAAACGTTGATTAAGTTTTTGTCTATTTTTGAAAATAAACGTACTGCAGCGAAATAAAGAAATTGATCAAATTCGTTTCTTCCTAATACATAACTCGAAAATCGGCCCTGATATTTAGTTTTTTAAAATATTCAACTTTTTCCCCCATTTAACCAACGAAATATACTTTTAATTAAAAATTGGCCACCCTCTGTATATGCATTGGTAAAAAAACTAAGTAGGTCTCTATTTAATAATTATTCAATTTGCCCTAAAAACACATAATTGTAATTCCTAAATCTCACAAAGCCATAAATAATCAAAATTATACACTTACTCAATTTATGAACCATTTCACTTATCACAGCGTTTCAAAAAAAAAAAAATCACCGAAACAATTGCCTATTAAATTGGATAACCAAAGAAGTAACACTATTGTAATTGCATAACATTTGTTAAAACACGCGGGTATTGTCTTATATATATCAACATCTGAAATTAGAGGGGATCCATTTAGGAAAAGACCACAGTCGCGTGGGAATTTAAAAAATATTGGTGTGTAAGAGAGAGATGAAATAAGAGGAGATTGTCTCTGATTAGCTCATTAGCTGTGATTTGAATATGAATTAAAATCTTTACTGGTTGTGAAAGTGCAGGTGATTTTACTAGCCAGCGATGGTCAACATGTACAAGGTACATTTTCGTAGAATATAGGAAAGCAAATTTGAGAAAAATTAGAATATTTTGGCTTGTAGAGAATTTCTCATAAAAAATGTTATATTCGAGTTTTATTATGTTTTTAATTATGAAATAAATGATCATTCTCCTATAGTCTTAACTTTAAATAATATAAATATAGAAAAAAATCAGGTTGGAAATTCACATAGGTATTATAAAAATTTTATTGACTACCCTCGTTTAAGAACACTTATTCAAAATCAAAATTGGCAAAATATTTTTGATGAACCGGATGTAAATATTATAACAGAAAATTTCATTGAAGTTCTAAAAAGTACAATCAATAAATGTACGAAATCAGTAAAAATTACAAACAAATATAGAAATAAAAAACCGTGGATTACAGCAGGATTATTAAAATCCATAAATGAAAAGAATCGTTTATATTTATTTATTAAACATAATCCAAATGATATGAACGCAAAAAAATTGTACTCGTATTATAAAAATAATCTTTCTAAATTAATACAAAAATCAAAAAAATCTTATTTAAATAACTTAATTGAAAAAAATGGAAATACATCTTCAACTCTGTGGAAATGTGTTAAAAGTATGTGTAACAACATTAAGCCTGAAATGAAAATTGACAAAATTATAAAAAGCGATAATCGAATAATCTCTGATAGGCAGGAAATAGCTGATGAATTTAATGACTTTTTTAGTGATATAGGAGAAATATATGCTGGAAAAATTGCCAATTCTCAAAATTTTGTTGAAGTTGCTCAGCACATGGAAAAAACAATGTATTTATTCAGAACCAATGAGATTGAAGTTAAGGAAATCATAAACTCAAAATTCCAACCAATGAGATTGAAGTTAAGGAAATCATAAACTCGTTAAAAAATAAAAAAGCACCAGGAATTGATGGGATTCGGTCAGAAATTTTAAAAGAATTAACTAATGAAATTGCTTTACCGTTAGCTAATTTAGTAAATAAGTGTTTTAGTACAGGCACTTTTCCTAGTTTTCTAAAAAATGGATTAATTAAACCTTTATATAAAGCTGGAGAATGAAAACAGGTGATTACCGCCCTATAACGTTAACATCTACTATAAGCAAAATAGTTGAAAAAATATTTAAAAGTGGGTTAGTAAATTTTTTAAACAAAAACAAAATTATTTCAGATGATCAATACGGCTTTAGAGAGGGAAAATCTACAGAGGATGCAATTTGCTCGCTCACCAATAATATTTATCAAGCTTTAGATAAAAAAACGCCTTCTTTATGTATATTTGTTGACCTCTCTAAAGCCTTTGATACTGTTAATCATGAAAAACTACTTGGAAAACTAAAATGTTATGGAATTCGAGGAATAACGTATAACTTCATTAAAGATTACTTCATTAATAGGAAACAATTTGTAGACATTGATGGAATCATCAGCAAAGCTAGAACAATTACATGCGGAGTACCTCAAGGGACAGTGCTTGGAGCCATTCTTTTCCTACTATATATCAACGATTTACTATCATATTCAACAAGAGGAAAAGTTATTAGCGGCAATGTTTTATAAAGCCAGTACCTGGGATATTTTAAAAGAGGATGCCGAAACGGATTTTAAAAGTGTAATGGAATGGTTTAATTATAATAAACTTACCCTTAATGTAGAAAAAACTAAATATATGGCTTTCTCATCCTATGTAACGGGACTTCCTAACTTTGGACCTCTTAACATTGATATTTTCTTTTATTTTCAACAATCGACTGTTATTTCATAAAAAAAACAATATTTTTAGCGCACGTTCTACTAAAAACACATTCTAACTTTAAATCTACAGATTCCTTTTGGTAGTGGCAACACTGTAAGTAGGAGTGATAATAATAATAATAATAATAATAATACTCTCCCTAATTCACCCCCTTACGAGTGAATTTCGACTGAACGACTTGTGTAGGTGAAGGGACGGCTATTATTATTATTATTTGCCGTGGCGCTCCGGGGCGACTTAAAGGTGATTGATGGTGCCATTTGACTTACAGGTGAGGAAAACCCGGAAAACCTCACCCACCATCATGGATGGAGCACGAGTTATTGGTTATGTATCCTGTTATTTATATCATTTTACTTAGTTCACTAAGTACCTCATTATATCTATAATTTAAAGTAGATAATACTAATTTGTGCAACTAGAATGGATATGATGACCATATCGCACCACGCACGAGGCTGTAGGCCGTAGGCCTTAGTGTCACCTCCATCGCTACACATAACGTTTTAGTTTTAATACTCGTAATTAAATTGATTTTATATAGTTTTATTAAAATTTATGGTTTATTATTTGTAAATATTGACGAAATAAAAATAGAAATGCTATTATTTATCGATTCTATACAAGAATAACTACTCATTTTAATCTTAACAAGTATAGTTTGACAGAATTGTTACTTATTTAAAATTTAAAAGAAATAATAGTATCCGGGTGACTAAAATATGAACTGCGATTGGTAGATTTCATATTTGTGCAGTGTTCTTACTAGGTAGAATGGATAAGAAATATATTCGTTCAGTTGAAAGCAATGGCATACTTTTTCATTTTAATAATGGTAGAATTCCCCACTCGATCATTCACTGCTGGGTTCTAATTAACAGTGCTGTTCCTAAAGTGGCGCTGGGAAACAGTAACAAAGCCTACGCAAAACACGAGGCTAATGACCTTAGCACTCAATGCCGATGACACCAAATTAATAGATATTTATACACCAAGTGAGTTAAATGAATTAATTAACTCACGAGGCGTATACAATATTTTATCCAATTTTGATATTTTTAGATCAAAATATAGGTGTTTTTTAAATTTAATTTTGTATTTAACAACCATTTATGGCAATGTAATTGACAAGTAGTCGGTGCAATTTATATTAAGTCTGGTTGTTAGTCGTTGTCAGGGCTTGTTTATTTAGACTTTGTTTATAGTTAGTTGAATATTACTGTTATTGACTAAAATCTACGATATAAAACATCGGCAAAAGAGTTAATTTTAGTTTAAAATTTTGGAAAAATGGATATCTTAGATTTTGTGAATGAAGAACTTGTTCCAGAAGAAGTGTTAAACGCAGCAAATGAGGCTTTAACAAAAATAGTACCCAATAAATCTAAATCATTGTACGAGAAGGAGTATATGCTTTTTTGCCAATGGCGAAACAAAAAGCAGGTTAAAGGAGTTAACGAGAAGATAATAATGGCATACATATCTGAAAAATCAAAAAATGTGAAGTCTTCGTCATTATGGTCCTATTATTCGCAACTTAAGAAGATGTTGTCCGTTAAAGAAAATGTGGACATGAGCAAGTAGGATTTTAAATTATATTAAAAAATAGACGTTTGAGTTAATAAAAGGTTACTTTTTCAGATTTCACCAAGTGAAAGAACCAATCAGTGGGATATAGACCAAAGAAATCAAATGTATTTAGCAGAGAAGACGTCGAAAAAATTTTAGATACTGCTCCTGATGACAAGTATTTACTGCTTAAAGCAGCTTTGATAATGGGAGTTTCAGGAGGCTGCAGAATTTGCGAACTGGTAGCGATGTCCACTAATAATGTTGACGACAGAGGAAGTGTATTAGTGGTGAAAATTCCCGACACTAAAACTTACAAAGAAAGAATATTCACTGTTGTCAATGGAAGCAATAATATCAATGCAATTGATGTATTTCAGAAATTTAAGAAATTGCGCTCGCAAAATGTATCACATATACGACTATTCCTAAACTATAAAAATGAAAAATGCACGGTACAGCCTGTAGGTTTCAACACATTTTCCAAATTGCCTCAGAAGATAGCAGAGTTTCTTGGCTTAGAAAATGCGGGAGACTATACTGGACATAGTTTTAGACGATCCTCTGCCTCTTTGCTGGCGGAAGCAGGCGCCGATTTATCGATATTAAAAAGACATGGAGGATGGCGTTCTGACTCAGTTGCAGAAGGATATGTTGAACAGTCTATAAAAAATAAAATAGAAATTTCAAGAAAAATATTGGGTAATGAAGTTGCAGTAGGTGCACCTGAAAAAGCTGGGACAGTAGCCAATAATAAATATAATATATCGGAGAATACATTACAAATTTCCAATTTAAACAATGAACCCATCGCCATCGGTACGAACATCGATTCTAACAATGGACCCATCCATTCAAACGTAGTTTCTAATGTTTCAGAGCAACTAACTATTCCATTAAACAACGAAATGAAGCTCCAGTTTAATAATTTAAATAACTGTAACTTTTATTTTGATTATAAAAAATAATTATGCAAAGATAGTTTCCATTAAGTATTATTGTTTTCATTGTTTCCATAATTATTGTTACAAGTTGATTTTTATGATGAAACTTTTAGACTGATTCCATTGTTTATTATATTGGCTTTACATAATATATGCACACATGCCTAAAGAGTGCTAATATCGATACCTAAATAGCGGCTTCCACATTTGGCTGTCGACAGTAATATAGGTACATTATTAGGTTAACTAATAGTGACTTAAGAGTCACTAGTGACTTAAAAAAATTTTAACTCACTCTTTTAGTTGCTAGTGAATAAAACTTTATTTGTTATTGTTGTTATGGAATTGATAAAGTAATTTTAATGTGTCAAAATTGGATAAAAAAAAATAATATTATTAATAATAGCTCTATTGCCCAACAGTTTCCCATTAACAGGACAATATTCTTAATAATAAGTAAAAATAAAAAAAGTGGTACCTAAA